ATTAAAGTGTGACAAACATGCAAAAAAATAAGAAACCAGGAAGGGTGCCAACACTTTTTCACACCACTGTATTTATAGAGCTGTTACTGGAAACAAGTGCTCACAGGATGTCCCAAGACGCTAATTCAACTAGGAGGAGTCCTTTAGACCATAATAGATCACACATCTTACTCTGAGCTGAATGTTTACACTGAGCTTGTCTGGACTGATCCAGGAGGATTCTGGGTTCAGTGTGAGCTTCTACATCATGCACTTAAATAAATGCATTACTATTGAACGAGTCTGTGTTGGCGTGTCGATCCCTGAATGACTGCGTGACAAAAAAAATCAATTGGCAAGGCAGCAGGATTCTGGCCCAATTCGGATTGTGCTAGAAGCTCAGGTTATTTTCCTAATGGCAGCTACTGTTGATCACAGACATATTTGTAAGCGTTTGAGGTTTATTAATGCCGAAATGCAAGATTCCAGCTTGTCTTCCTGTCTCTGATTGGCTCTTCCCTCTGCAGGCTCTGGCATGAACAGTCTGGATGGTCTGATTGGAGCAGAGGAAAAAGTCATCAACAGCAAGAGCAAGATCAGTGAAAATGTGGTGAGCCCACCAGCCTGCCTCCAACACCACACACACTTTACTGATCCGTTGAGAACACTGGGCCAACTGCTGACGCCAACTCTCATGATTGAAACTACATAAAAAAGGATTTTTATACGCATTCAGTTTAAGTGCTAATAATACAATAAAGAATTGCCTTCATGATACACCTAGATGAACAATTACCAAATTAAAGACCACCTGCTCTGTAAACGTTATGGTTTGTATAACTATGGCCTCATAGTTATAACTCTGCCATATGAATTTCTTTGACTTTACTGTATTTGCAAGGCAGCACTAGTTTGACATTGCTGTTTTCTGGGGGTTGCAAATATTTTGACACCTAAATATGATGGTCACCCTACTTTTAAAATATAAAGACAGCTATATAATAAATAAAAACCATTTATACTTTGTAAAAAGGTTATATTATTAAGACAATATGTTCTTCTTATATTCTTATAATCTTATATTCTCATTAAACTAATGAAATAAATTTTTTATAAATGTAAATGTATTTATAACCTAATTTTTACAATATAGTTCCAAAGCAGCTTTACAGACAGTACAACCTGCAGCGATCGGCTAAAATTGACAGTTTCGTAAAATATTCAAAAC